TTTTTCCCCCTAAACTCATAACTCTATCTCTCTTCTTCGTCTCCTTGGAGTGAGAAGTGGGGGAGAGCGTCTGTTGTCTTGTCATTGGCCAACTCAGCCCAAACTATGACAACTCCAAAAGTGCATCTGATCACAACATAAGATATAAGTTTAGGCTTTTTTTTGCTTAGGGCCAAATAAATTTTTCTTCAGGATTAGAACAGACCCACTAGTGTGCCCACACTCAGCACTTCACACCCAGCTACCCCATAGCCCTAGTACCCTCCGCCTGGCATCCACACCAGATGCTTCCATCCACCACTTCCCACCCCAGATGTGCCCAAATCCCATCCCCAATAACAGCCACCTTTCCCCATGGAAAGCTGGATGCACCTAGGGTTTGGAGGTCCAGCAGCAGGCAGAGTGTAGCAGACAGGAAGACATGAGTGCTGGCTGTAAGACAGAGTCTTCATGTTGATTGCAAGGACCTTGAATTCCATGCCACACAAGGCAGGATCACTTACAAAGACCTACAGGAACAAAGTAACATGGCACAAGACCACGGCAGCAATCTACAGCCCTGTGCCATGCCATGAGCTAACTATGGACTCAATATTGCATCAGAAGTACATCACTGAGGCCACCAAGACAACCACTCCACAACCTGGTAATGCAAGAATTTGAGTTGTTGTGGCATATCAGTTATGCCACCCAAAGTGCATTCATTGGTCACAACAGGTCTGTGTCCGTAGGACACCTTCCTCTTCCAACACTCAAGATTAACTATTGGTAGTAATGCACTAGATTTTGTTTGACTGCAAAGTCCTGTGCAGCCTTAATGCTTCATTTACCACTCACTTCTCAAATACAGTCCTATATTGACATTTATTCATCCTGTCACTGGTTTTTTGGATTTGATAGCATTTTTCACCCTTGGTATCTAAACTACTGCCTACCAACAGCATCCTTCCCTGCTCTGCTGTCAGGACCTGCACACCTGCAACTGGACCTCGAGGGCTTGTGTTAGACCTCCAGAAAATGAGAAAAATACTCGTACAGCCAGACTGGCACCACCTTGGAACCAGAGCATCACTGTGTCACCTACCCCATCCTCCAGGGAAGCAATACACCGAGAACATCCTGACGTGCATTTGAAAGCTAAGCAACAAATAATACAGGAAATCACACATCTTTATTCCAGTTCTTCCTAACTTATGAACACCTGCCTTCACAAGGCAGCACGAAACAGACAAGAGGAGAAGAAAAAGTTTAGGAAGTTTAGAAAGAAGCTGGTACACATGATTCAGTAGAAGGCCGCAGCAATACACAGGGGAGGCTTCCCCGCTCACACTATTGCAAACATGAAAATTATCTGGAAAACTTGATTTTTAAATTTAATATCAGCTAAAGAATCAATGTCTAAATGGAAATATTAACAAGCTATACTTGTAATAGAATTCATGGTTGGGTAAGCACACATGACAACAATAATGCCATTATTTAAATAGCTCCTTTTCATCAATCCAGCTCAAAACGTACAAAACACACAAACAATTTAAGTGCAAGAACCCAGAGTCAGAAACAGAGTCTGTCCCATGGGACTACCAGAGCCAGAAGCTCACAGACAAAAAAAAAAGCTTTAGAATCAATTAAATCTTACAAACTGCATTTTGAAACAAAAATCACCTCTTCTTGTATTCCTCCTAAGCATTCACGTGTATAAACACATTATTACCTATCAAACAACAAGTAGAAAAAAAAAGCTAGATTTGAAGTTCAAGCTTATTTTAATTCCTACCACTTATCACTGTATAATACATAAAATTTTAACTCCTGTAATAAATACATCTGAACTTGAACAGAAATATTTAAGAAGTTCTTTCATTACTCTAAGGCCTATGGCAACTGGCCCACACATAATTATTTGTTTGAACTTGAATAGTCAGAAATTAAGGTATTTTTCTGCTTGAAGTGTCAGGATGAAAAGAGCCTTTGGTTCAATTTCAGCCAAATATCGAGATTAAAGTTCTCAGCAAGATGCTAAAATCATAGTTGCTTTAAAAAATATGTATTTCTCATTTAACTGATGGCTGAAAAAAATATTTATTTTCCCCTGAAGTGTTATACTTTTGGAAGATAAACTGTGAAGGTAATCAGAATCTAATGCTCTATAATGTGCTGACAAAGGTTTTTCGCTATTAGTAATTTTTGCCTCTGCCAATCCTTAGAAATATTAAGCCTTTGAGGACCAAAGCAGTAAAAACAACAACTTCAGCAAATACTTCTTTTGTCTGCTTTCACTAATACCTGAGATAGAATCATAGAACCATTTAGGTTGGAAAAGACCTTTATGATCATCAAGTCCAACCATTAACCTGTCCCTGCCAAGTCCACCACTAAATCATGTCCCTCAGCACCACATCTGCATATCTTTTGAATACCTCTGGGGATGGTGATTCCACCACTTCCCTGGGCAGACTCTTCCAATGCTTGATAACCTGTTCCGTGAAGAAATTTTTCCCAATATCCAATCTAAACCTCCCCTGGTGCAACTTGAGGCTGTTTCCTCCTGCCCTATCACCTGTCACTTGGGAGAAGAGACTGGGCCTCACCACCTTACAACCTCCTTTCAGGTAGTTGCAGAGAGCAGAGGTCATTCAGCATGGACAAGAGAAGGCTCCGGGGAGACCTTAGAGCCCCTTCCAGTACCTAAAGGGGCTCCAGGAGAGATGGGGAAGGACTCTTTATCATGGGGTGTAGCAATAGGATGAGGGGTAACAGTTTTAAACTGAAAGAGGGGAGAGTTAGTTTATATATTAGGCAGAAATTATTTTCTCTGAGGGTGGTAAGACACTGGAAGAGGTTGCCCGGAGAAGCTGTGGCTGCCCCATCCCTGGAGGGGTTCAAGGCCAGGCTGGATGGGGCTTGGAGCAACCTGGTCTGGTGGGAGGCGTCCCTGCCCACGAAAAGGAGCTAAAATGACTTATTTCATTTTTTTACTTGCCCAAAGCAATTACAATTAATTTATGTCTTTGACAAATATCTCTCTAGGCCAGTCTTGCCAGTGAAATACGGTACTTCATTTGTGGTTTTAAATAAAATGCTTCCGCTAGTGACATGTTGCACTGATGTATCTCTACGAAAAGACAGGACTATGAGTTCTCTGGAAGTTCATCCAAAGTCCTAATTCTTGAGAGAAAAAGAAGAATTGCAAACCTGAAACTAATGAGAATACATAAATAAAACATACTTGTCAGATGGTAAAATTAATTTAAGAACCTACAAGTGTTTTACAAACATTCATTGTTACGCCACCCATCCAAACAGATAAATGTTGTTAGCCCCGTTACAGAGATTTAAAGAGGGCCAGTAAGGTTTTTTTTCTTACCACACAAAATGACTCACTGGCAAAGTCAAGCAGAGGTGAAGCAGAAGGTAAATGGAGAAATACAGCTCAAGGCTCAGTCGCTCATTACCATGCCCTGCAAGTACCTGATTTATTAAGATCTAATCAAGTCCAAGAACATGACAGTGCAAACTCCAGAACGTGCCACCTGTGACAGAGCATGATGCTCAGCCTGGTGCTGCAGCTACATGATATGGGCAAACATTGGAGCCCTGTTTGTGGAGCCTGCTTCCCACAGTTTCCATTCCCCAAAGAAGAAAACAACTCTGCAAAAAAGCTTGAAGAAAAGCACCTGGATGATCGGGAGCTTGATCACTTTTATTTTTACCCATCATTTACCAATCATTTCATTTCTAGTGTTCAAAGCCAGTCTCCTACACGAGATTGAAAGCGCTGCCTGGGTAAATAACAAGAAGCAGGGGAAAGCAAAAACTTTCCCAACTAAGTATTATCACAAAACCACCTCTTACTTTTATTACAGTTTCTTTTCAAACAAACAACAAGGAGAGAAGCAATGAGATTACTACTGTTACAGCATCCCCATCTACTCTCACAGACTAATACGTCCTCACTGACACAAACAGGCATACACCATCTACATACCAGGCATCTAAATAAGGATTTCTATAGACCTCATGCACTCACTGAAATCTAAACACAGGTGCCTAATACTTTATGTACCCAGCCAACTGTATTTTTGGCACATTCAGTGGATATAACTCGTACTTTCTGCTCAGAAATTATTATTAAGTTCTGAATTAGTGTCATTAGGCTATGTCTTGTGGTCTGCAAGACAACTGAGGATCTTACACGTAATCAAAATTTCCAAAAAAATCTCACTTTGTTTCCCAAGTATCTAAAGAATGAAGGTTACACAATACTTGGAACTTCAGCCTGCCAAAATAAGTTGTTAAAAAACTAGCTGCACACCCAGACACCTCACGTTGAAAGCAAGCAAGTTAAGTAAACAACATTTTTCTCGGAATAAGCCATGCACACAGTCCTACCAGAGGATCCTGCCTAACTAATGAAGGATTTAGTCTATTACATTTTTCCATCTTCAAACAGAGACGGATTTACTGATCTGCCCACTGGATTGTTCCTTTAACACTGGTAGGACACAGAATCATAGAATAGTTTGGGTTGGAAGGGACTTTTAAAGGTCATCTAGTCCAACCCCCCTGCAATGAGCAGGGACATCTTCAACTAGATCAGGTTGCTCAGAGCCCCGTCCAACCTGACCCTGATTTTAAAGTTCGTTTAAACCACTAAAGGTGGGAATATCCCCCTGCCAGTACAACACTTTCTACCCCTCTCAGGTTTTTTTCCCCTGTGAATGAAAGGCAGCCAACAGCAGCCAACCTCCTGATTATACGTATGGAAGAAATACCAAACAGATAACCAAACAATCACTTTGCACATAACTATAAAAATACAAAGATATTGGTTATGCTTTTTAAAAAAAACAGAGCTCTGCCTACAGCCTGTGCCGTAACGCACACAACACCCCCCGGGCACGATAAGCCCTTTATTAACGTTTGCAATAAAATGAAGACTGCAGAACAACGACACGCCGTAGCCATGGATTTCTAACACCAGGAGAGCGTATACTCACGGGGTGCTGGGTCCTCAGGGGCAGCTGCTGCTCGCAGTGAACTAGTGGAAATCTCTTCCGCGGAGTTTTCAGGTGATGTCAACAACAGGAAGGATGACTTGGAGCCAGATTTCCATTTCTCATCAGGACGCAGCCTTAAAAGTTGGAAACAAGAGCGTTAAAGGCTCCTTGCTTATACACACAAACATACACACACACCCCCTCCAGACCTGCAATTAAACCCTTAACGGAGATACAGGCTCCCGTATCTATGCGGGTGCGGGAAAGAGGGGGGGTCTGGGGCGGGGGGAAGATGTCCCTATTCCAGGACCCTCATTAGGAAACCCTTTAATTCCTTTAATTTTGCGCGGCCCCCACCCAGCTACAGCGCTGCAAACCTCCGCGACCACCCCAAGCCCCCACCAGCCCCACGCAACCCCGGCGGCGGGGCGGGGGTCGGTGCCCGGAGGGTCCGTCCATCCCCCCCCCTCCCCCTGGGGTACCGGCGGGGCCCCGCTTACCTGCGCTTCCCCCCACCCGAGGAAACGGGGAAGGTCTCGGGTGGGAGGCGTGAGGCCGCGAAACACCACCCCCCGCCCTGCACCGGGGCCAACGGGCGGGCAGAGAGCCGGGTCTCGGTCCCCAGCCTGGCCCCTGCAGAGCTGGATGCTCTCCCGAACCTTCCCAGCTCCTTCATTGAGGACACTTGGAATAATTTGCATAGGAGCAAAAACCGATTTTGGGGAGGCCAAGGCGCCCTTCCCTCCAGCAGGGAGCCACCTAAAGCTCCTCGTGTTCCCCATGAACTCCTGTTCCTCATGACTTCAACACAACAAAGTTTGATCTCTGCCTATTTCCCAGATACTTATTTTTTTCCCCTTATAGTTTTCCTGGAAGATAAACATTAAAAGTGTAACCCATGTCAATCTGGAAGCACCTCTCTCATCTGCATGAAGTAGCAGCACCTGTGGCACCCATCCCTTGGAGGCAAGGAAGCCAATGATAACCTGCCCCTCAATGGAAACCTGAAGAAGGACTTCACCGTGTCCTCCTCCCCTGTCTCAGGGGAAGCAGAGCCCCACGTTCTGAGGACAGGACCCCTTTCCTTTGTCAAAACGGTAGCGTGGTCAGGGTGGGCTGCCTGGAACGCTCACCATGCCTTCTTCTCACCTTCCTCACCCTCACACCTCCACTCATTCCCAAACTGGTGGGGAGGCAAGTTAGACAGGACCATCTGCAGACACCAGCAGAGGAGAAAGAGGTTTGGAAGAAGGGGTTTTCTTTCTTTTAGAAGGCCCCGGTGTCTGAATTCATGAAAATGTTTACTTTTCTAGCCAACTAGACTATGTGGGATTCAAGGTCTCAGTGCTTTCAAGCTTTGCCAGGTGTGGGGATGAGGAGGAGTGAGACACTTGACCCAAGTTTGCTGCAAAGTTCTCTCTCCCTTGATGGTGGCAGCCTAGAGAACTTCTTGCCCTGGTGCTAGACCCCTGAGCCCGTCCCTTCCTCCTGAAGCCTTTGCACTCGCAGTGTCCCACATTTGCTGTTCCTGCTGGGAGGGCACAGCTTCCTGCTGATAGAACGGGCTGAGTACAATCCTTTTATATTTTATAGTGGTATCAGGATCAACACCGGTTCTTTAGTCTTATTAAGATTAATAATATAGTCTTATTCTATTAAATCTGTTTCTATTTCAACCCTCAGGTCTCCTTGTTTTTCCTGATTCCCCTTCCTGAGTGGGGAGGGGTCATCAAGTGAGAGAGTAATTGTCTAAACAACAACAAATTGTTGTGGGTTTCCCAGTGGGATCTGAAGAAGGAGAAAACAAAAAGGAAGCAGCTGTTCCCCATCCAATGCCTGGTCCCTCAGGCATGTCACTTTCAAAGGCGGTTCCTCTGGCTTTCAGGCATTCTCAGGATGATGCCATCAATGAACTAAACATCAAAGTCTCACAGGCACCATCTAGTTACGTGACGAATACGTTCTTTTGAATATTTTTGCAGATGATTTCTATTTAAGCATTTTTCACTACATAATTACTAGGGTATTCATCGTCCTGGGGCAGCAGTCACACCATCAAAACCCTGGGTGCTCGGTGGGAAAGATCTACTGACTGGATTTTGTGTTCCAGAGCCCCTCTGATCTCAGCAAAGCTTCGTAGCTGTGTCAAAACTAGTCTGAAGTCTGCTGTCATTACTGAAGTTAGAGTGTAATTGTTAAACTGCATAACTACACAAAATGCATAAAAACGTGCTGGGATTCCTCACACTACAATCTTGTTTGCACTTTTCAGGACAGGCCTCCTTCATGGGAATTTTATTTCACTTGATACTGTGTAAAATTCTGATGTAGGAAGGGAAGTATTCGTGTGAGTACCAGTTAAGCTATATGTTAAATAAGTTCCATATATGTAAATGTTTGCAGGAGTACTTTGGCTATGTTTGATCATTACGATGGAGAAACAAGATGTTAACATATTTGCAGAAAAAAGGCTTTCTTGGCACTAATCAGCCACCAATTTCTTTAACAGGAGTTTTTTCCCCTTTAAGAGAAGCAGGATGAGACACGATCCTGCAGACCTAGATGCAGACAGGCTCCCTTGATTGCGTGGATGTCAGTGGCACCGTTCCCTGGGCTTAATTATCATTCACCTTTTCTAATCCAGACAGCCAATTTTGTAATCTTCTGAGTATTTATTTTTTTTTCTGTTGGGAAGAGAAATTCATGAGGGATCCCCTCAGTTGCCTGAAATAGAAAGTATGTCATGTCTATGAACTGCAGCTCCCCACGGACAGAGTTCAGTCACATCTAATATTGTACATGTCATATATTCAAAGCCTCAGCCCCTCATCTACCTGCCCTTACTACAAGTCCTGTAGCCCAAGGCTGGGTGCTAGTTCATTATGTGCAACAGGCTTCAAAGTTAAATGACCTAACAAAAGAAAAAGAAGGAAAGAAAAAGGCCAGGGCGCTGAGGGGACAGAAAACAACTTGGTGTCAAAGGGACATAGGAGGAATGAGTCCTGAAGCTTACGTGGAGTCCATGACAGATTATATTGCCAAGGGTTTGGCAGAAATGCTTCAGCCCTACTCTAAAAACCTACCTGGTGATGGGCCTGGAGTCTATGTGGCTTTGAACCTGAAGCTTTGGTTGAGCAGAAGGTTGCTGACATCAGTGGTAAGAGCTGCATTGTAACCAGTCCTGTCATTCTTGAGCTTCTACACCCTAATTTAGTATCTTAGTATCTCCAAATTTTTCTCTCTCTCCTACTGGTGCTGTTTCACAGCTCTTTGTATAAAAGATACAGAGTCAGTTTTCTGGGCAAGACCCACTTCCCATAGCTGGCCTTGAAACCTTGTAGCCCTTTCTGCACAGATGCGGTCAGCCAGTGAACGAGATAGATGGAAACTCTCCTTCTCTTCCCATCAGGAGTTTTCAGCAGATTAATGCCTCCCAGGGCTGTTCCAAGACACAGTGCTGCAAACATGACCGGTAAAAGTTCCTGCTCCAAACTTAAGTCCTAATTCCTTGTCAGGGATTTAATTTTGAAATGTTTCCCACAATCTTTTAGTACGTTGTTAATCTGCTCAAGTAAAACTTCCAAGCAGGTTGATAGAATAAAAAAAGGCATTTCAAGAAATTCATGTATTGGTAGATTTGTCATGATGTGGAGCATGAGAGGGGATTTTCTTCCTCCCCTGGATGAAAGTGTGCCTCCATTATCTGAAGTGGGTTAGTGCAGCCTGTGATAAGAAGGCTGCCATGAAGCAGAGAGGTGGGAAAATAATCAGCTGCAGGAGACACGTCGAGACTCCAAACATTAAGTCCAACCATTACATTGAGTGCAAAGAGGGACAACGGAACAGGAATAAGCAGTAATAGAGAAACAGAGGAAAATGTGCTGCTGGAGACTTGGGAACTCAGCTGCCAGTCAGCACAGTGGGCAGTGTGGGAGGACAGCCAGGAGCTAACACACATGCTCCAGTGCTTAGACTGGTACAGGACAACAAGAACAGCACTGGGAACTCCTGGGAAGATGCCTGGCTGAGGGGCAGAAGGTCTTTCTTCACAGTGCAGGTCTGGAGGAAGCAATGGCAGGCAGATGAGTGCGCCTCAGTCTGTCAGGGGCTTCCAAATCCCATCCTCTTCCAAGGACCTTTTGCTACTATGGCTTTCATCACTATGGCAGCGCCACCGGCACCATCTGGGCCCCGTGATGGATACATCAGCTGAGCAGCATGGAGTAGACATGGGAGTCCCATGGTCTCCCACATGCTGAAGGCTGAGGTGTGTTGGGGGGGTGATGCAGGAGGTCCCCAAGAGCCTGATTTTGGGCTCCAGGAGGGGTGAGGCTGCAGGACTTAGCTGACTTTAAGGCCTGCTGGGAGGGTTCCCTGTAATAAACACGCCAGCAGTTAATTGTGGTGCTGTGGCCTGGCACACAATCACAGAATGGTAGGGCTTGGAAGGGACTTCTAGAGACCATCTAGTTCAACCTCCAAGGCTGCCAAAGCAGGGTCTCCTACAGCAGGTTGCACAGTAACGCATCCAAGTGGGTTTTGAGTATCTCCAGAGGAGGCTCCACGGCCTCTCTGGGCAGCCTCGTTCAAGGCCCTGTCACACTCAGAGTAAGTTTTTCCTCATGTTCAGCCAGAATTTCCTGTGTTCTAGTTTGTGCTCGTTGTCCTGTCACCAGGCCCCACTGAGAGAAGTCTGGCACCATCCCCTTGCCACCTGCCCTTTAGATATTGATAAGTATGGATGAGATGATCCCCTCTCAGTCTCCTGCAGGCTGAACAGCCCCAAGTCCCTCAGCCTTTCCTCAGCAGAGAGGTGCTCCGGTCCCTTCATCACCTTTGTAGTCTCCGCTGGACTCTCCCCAGTACTTCCCTGTCCTTCTTGAACCGGGAGGGGGGGGGGCAGAACGGGGCACAGCCCTCCAGACACTCCGCCGCCACTCCGCCGGCCCGCCCCGGCTCCCCGGGAGGCGGCCTGAGCTCCGGCCCCACACGGGTGTTCTCTAGACCGCAGTGCCCGGGCTGGGCTCTCGACAGGCCCCTCACATCTCGCCGGTGAGAGCCCTTGACCGGCGGCGGGGGCCGGGCCTGTGCGAAGCGGCGGAGGCCCCGCCAGGCCCCGGAGCGGCCGCGTCAGGTGACGCGGGTCCTTCCGCCGC